ACACACACACACACACACACACACACACACACACACACACACCCTGTGAAGATTTTATCCTACCCCCATCTAAGAATGGGCTGGAAAGAAGACATTAGCCAAATGCAGATCATGCGATAGCCAAATTTATGTTATCATGGTGTGTATTATTTTAAAATATATTTTTGTATATTTTAAAGACATATTTTTCCTTTTAGATTTACTAAGTGGTCTGTATTCTGATCATTTCAGCAAGTTCCCCCTGAATGCTTAATGTGCCTCAAGTGCCCAAGGGATAGATCCAAAGGTGAATGAATGGCAGAAGGGGTGTACTTAAAAAAAAGCTTCCAAATTAACTAGGCCACCTGGGTGCTAGGACAGAACTATGCACAAAGAAGGGGCAACTCCCCCAGCAACCTGATTGGGAGTGAGTCCTGAAAGACAATTGCTGGCCAGCAGGAACTTGAGTGTAAAGCAGAGCATGGGCACCTTGGGTAGAGGCATGCCCATGTGGGGTGGTATTAGGCCCATGGTTAAGGTTTACTGGAGTTATGCAGAAAATAAAATGAGCACCACAAGTGGCCAGCCTCCCTGGCTGGGCTAGGACCCATACATTGGAGGGCTCTGATCAGATTTGTGCATTGATGTTATTCCTCCATTGGCAATGTGGAGGATGGAGCAGGCAGGAGGAAGAGTAAAGGCCAGGAGGCCACGTGGGGGGTTGTTGACAAGATTCAGAGTGACATGATCTTGAACTAGGAGCACAGTATCAGGGTTAACACATAATTACATGTGACATCTGTGAACAGCCAAAATGAAATTTTGTTGCATTTCTTTGTCATATTTTCTAAGTTATTATTGTATTGTAAACAAGATCAGAAGATAGGCACAGGAAATTTACCCATTCTTCTGATATTTTTAACTTTAGCATATTTATAGATCTAATTAATATTATAAGGAAAAATAATCTTCTGATTTTCCTCTTAGAGTAATCAGGAGTTTGATTTCTTGGGTCATTCCTCTCTATCTATGTACAGTATATGTCCAACTTGGTAGTCTGAGACCCTTTGGTATTATACAGCTAAATCTTACATAGTATCCAATTGTCTAATTTGACATAATTTTTATAAAGCTGGCTTTTTGTTCCTGTCATAATCCACTCAACTCTTATAAATGCCTTTGTCTGCTTTCCAAATGCCATGGCTTCTGCCCTGATATTTGCACCTGTAGTGTTATACTGGCAAGTGGCTTCATGTCCTTTTGGTTCTTAAAATACTCTTCCTCTTCTCCCTACCCCCAGAGAGGAAGCTGTCTGAGAACTGGCTTAAGATGATAGTTCACTTCCCTTAACTTAATGTACATTTAATTAATTACACATATACAAAAAGAGTAAATCAAAGAAGTGCATCTGGGATCATCTGGTTCTGTGAGAAATGACAGGCATGAATTGGCAAATAGGGTGAATTATTAATAAAACGCCTCTGTGGCATAATACATAGATGAAAGATTGATGTCGTCTTATATTATAAGGACTCTAGTTTATGTAGGACACATCCTGGCCAACTATCAGGCTTAGGTGAAGAACCACAAAAAAGAAAGGAATTGCAGTTTCAGTAAATGGAAATCACCTTATACTGTGGTCGTGATCATCATTATTTCTTAATTTTACTTGAAACACCTTTTCCCAGTAATTAGCTGGTGTGTGATCTTCGCATTTCTTACCAAAGTTCAGAGTCCCTTGGTGTTTTCACAAAGGACATTTGTAAGGGAGGCATCATACCTTGCTTAGGCCAACAAGCCTTTATCCTTCATTAATCCAACAAATGTTTACACTGCTCTGCCCTTCAAGCATAATCTCTGAGTTACATAGTCATGCTTCCCCTGCCCAACATATCCCAAGGCGCTTATGGACTCTTAGAAGAGTTTGCAGCCCTTCCCAGTGTGGCTGAGAGCAGCAGGTTTGGTTAATGGAGCAATCACTGCAACTGTGACCTGTCTTGTTAAGGGAAGGGAAAGAAGTGAGCGTTTTAATGGGCATATGCACCGTGCTACCTGTGTTATATTGGTTAGCTCATTCAATACTAAGGAGGCTAACCCTGTCAAGTTAGAATGTGTTCAAAATTTCTTTCCTTTTATTCTATATTATGGAAATAACCCATGATGAATTACTTAATACTCTAAATTTGAAATCTTCTCTATATAAGCATACCCTGGTTGAAATCTAAAACTACTCTGATGATGCAGGATGCATTAATAAATGGGAGAATTGGGTAAATCATGGCAAGGACATAAGGTAATAAAAAAAATCTCTTGCTTTTTGCTTAGGGTATAGAATGTGTCAAGAAAAAAACTCAAATAGTTTGAAAGTTTGTTCAAGGAATGTAGAGAAGATTGACCTCTCTTCTGTTTTTCAGATACATTCCACCACTGATCTGGGGGAAAAGTGGACACATCCAAACAGCCTTGTATGGGAAGATGGGAAGGGTGAGGTCACCACACCCTTATGGGCACCGGAAGTTTATCACCATGTCTGATGGAGCCACTTCTACTTTTGACCTCTTTGAGCCCTTGGCTGAGCACTGTGTTGGAGGTGAGCAAGTTTAGGTCATAAAATTGGGCCATCTCTCAGAGAAGGAACACTAGTCAGTGGGGAACACAGTGAGGAGCACACATGTGGCTTGTGCCACCCACTGTCCCACTGCATTTGGGGGCTGTAAGTCGGCTGAGAGTCATCACTTAGTAGTGTCCTATGAGAATTTGCTCCAGTCCCAATAGCCCTCCAGAGAAAGCATTGTAGAAAGCAGTCGTATAATTCTCTTGTGAAATACAGAAGTGTAGTCTAAAAGGATTGGGGAGAGCCTGGGGCCCAGCATCCCCACCCAGGACCAGGGCTGAGTCAACATCGCAACAGAGGCCCAATTATTCTAAGTGCTTTATATATGAGGTTATCTCATTTACTCCTCCTCACAGCCCTGCAAGATTAGTGCTTTTTTATTCTCACTTTACTACTGGGGAAACTGAAGCTTGGAAAAGCAGTATAGGCTGGTTTTGTTTGTTGAATAACAGTATTTAAAAGCCATCGGATACCCTATGCATAGGTTTCCTTGGACAAAAAGACACATTCAAGTCATAGTCATTGTGCATGGGTCAGGGACATCTATTTCTGAGAAACAACTCCATTTTCCATTGCTGCTGGAATTGGGCATTATTCTATTCAATCTATACAATAAATACATGTTATAAAACAATTCATAGTGAGGGCTTTTGAAAAAGTGGAGTTAGATGCCAGCATTCTTTTGAATGCCATTTCTATCAGAAGAAAATGTGTCTTTTACATATTCAAAGGCAGCTCCTTTTTTTATAGGAGTGTGGTAATTATTTATGGGTAAATAGCATGCCTGTAATTCCAGCTACTCTAGAAGCTGAGGCAGTAAGATCACAAGTTCAAGGCCAGCTGGGCAATTGAGTGAGACTCTATCTCAAAACAAAATGAAAAAGGGGCCCAGTAGTAGAATGCTTGCCTAGCAAGTATAAGGTCCTGGCTTCAATTCTAGTATCATAAACAAATAAAATGATGATAACAAAAACAAAATACAAAGGGATGAGGATGTAGCTCTATGATCTAGTGCTTGCCTAGCATACACAAGGCCCTGGGTTCAAGCCCCAGCAATAGGGGGAAAATTCCAGTAAATGTATTATAACTCTCATTTATTTAAAGTAACTAGAACTGCTGATTAGCTGATAATAAAGGTTTAATTTTTATTTCTTCTCCCTGAAATGCACATCCCCAGACCCTTCACTTGGCTGCCTTGTCATTCAGATCTCAACTCAAATGTCACTTCCTCAGAGTCCCAGCTCCTCTATCAAACATTTCCTTCCTAGTAGATTCCTCATGCTTCACTGCTTTGGTTTTTCATGGTACCTGATGGTCTCTAAAGTAATCTGTGTACTTGTTCATGATCTGTCTGCTGGAATGCAGGAATCCCCAGAGCCCAATAAACAGTCATGGAAAGAATGGATAAATGAATGGGATAGGAATTCACATTGTGTTTATAAATCTTGTAGCTGATCTTTCAAATATTTATTTTTCCACCGTACCCAATTCTCTTGTTTTTAGTGCTTTACTTCCTCTACCATTTTTTAAATTTAGCTTAACCATTCTACAGGACTGAGGTAGAGAGCTGAAAAGGGCAAAACTCTGATTTTTTAGTGGTATATATCTGTGCCTCTCTGTCACCCCGTTTATGAAGGATATTCTGGGGAAGGCAATATCTGTGCCCAAGAAATGTTCCAAGTAAAACTTCTCTTTTCCCTTGCATGATTTTTTATGGCTATAAAAGAAATAAGTGCTCATTTTAGAAAATTGAGATAATACAGAGAAGTTTTAAAAGAATCACCATCCAACATACTTTTTTAAACATCTTGTTCTATTTCCTTCTAGTTTTATTCTATTATTTTTCTAAACTCTGAATTATTATACATTATATTAGAAATACTTTCATTTCATGTCATTAAAAGTCTGAAAGTCAGGCTGGGGTTGTGGCTCAGTGGTAGAAGCACTCACCTATCACCAGTGAGGCACTGGGTTCAATCCTCAGCGCCAAATAAAGAAAAATAAATAAAGATATTTTGTCTATCTACAACTAAAAAAATATTTTAAAAAAGTCTGAAAGTCTTCAAACATGTAGTTTTTTAAACATTTTTATTTGTAGATGGACAAAATATCTTTATTTTATGTATTCATTTTTATGTGGTGCTAAGGATCCAACCCAGTGCCTCATGCATGTGAGGCAAGTGCTCTACCACTGAGCCACAACCCTAGCCTCCAAACACATAGTTTTAATGATTTCTGCTTTGTTTTTTTTTTAAAGAGAGAGGTGAGAGAGAGAGAGAGAGAGAATTTTTGATATTTATTTTTTAGTTTTTGGCAGACACAACATCTTTATTTGTATGTGGTGCTGAGGATCGAACCCGCACGTATGCCAGGCGAGTGCGCTACCTCTTGAGCCACATCCCCAGCCCTTAATGATTTCTTAATAGTCTGTGTTGTGGTCATATTCCATAGTTTAACCATTCTTCTATTATTGGGCAGTTAGCTTGTTTACAGTTTTGTCATTATGAATAATTCTATGATGAGCATCCTTAGTTATAAAATTTTAGGCAAGATTCTGATAATTGGAATACTAGGTCAATGTTTATAAAAATACTAAGGTTTTTCTTTTCTTTTCTTTTTTTGGTACTGAAGACCAACCCTAGGGCCTAGTACATGCAAGACAAGCACTCTCTCACTGAGCTACATTCCTAGTCGCCAAATTTTAAGGTTCTTTATGTATATTATAAAATTGCTTATTAATTCACATTTCCCTGCCAGCATTAAGAAGTTTTCAGTTGTTTTTCCTCTTAATTTAAAGGAAAACTTGTCAGATTTAATGAAAAAATATGTATTCACATTTTCAAGTAGATAATTCATGCTTGTGATAGAAAATATAAGATGTACTAAAGATACACAGTGAAAGTGTAAGTCTCTCTTCCCATCTCTACTGTCCCTCACACCCTTCCCCATTGGTACCCACTGTTAGGTTTCTTTTGTATGATTCCAGAGCTACTGGATGCATTTATAAACATAGACATTCTTTTATCCTCCATACAAATAGCAGCATATTATAAACTTTTCTACATCTAGCTCTTTTTACTTAATATATATAGGAGAGTTTGCCATATGAAATTATATAAAGACATCTAAATTTTTTTAAACGTCACATGTATATCATCACTTGGACATGCAGTCAGTCATTTATTCAACCAGACCCCTGTTTCTGGACATTTAGATTATGTTCAATCTTTTGCCCTTAAAAACCTACTAAATATATACTGTTTTTCATATGTACAGGTTAATCTATGGGATAAATACCTGAGAATAAAATTGCTGGGTCAGAGGAGTCTGTGCAAACACTTCTTTTTATTTTCCTATTCATTTGTTCATGCAGAACAGTAGTAATGTTCAGGTACTTGTGTAGTAATTTTTATAGTAATTTTATGTCTATTGAATTAATAATAAAAAATTGAGCTCCATTCAATGATGCACACCTGTAATCACAGCCATTCAGTAGGCTAAGCCAGGAAGATCACAAGTTTGAGACCAGCCTGGGCAACTTAGCAAGACCCTGTCTCAAAGTAAACAATAAAAAAGCTGGGGTGTAACTCAGGGGTAGAGAACCTCTGGGTTCAATCCCCAGTACTAAGAAAAAATTTTTTGAGATTTATATATTTTTCATTTTATTTATTTTTTAAAATATTTTTTAGCTGTTGATGGACCTTTATTTTATTCATTTATTTATATGTGATACCGAGAATCGAACCCAGGGCCTCACACATGCTAAGCAAGTGCCTTACCACTGAGCCACAACTCCAGCCCTCTATTTGTTTTTAATAAATAATTTCTATTGTATTTTTCAAATGTACCTGTATCTGACTGACAGATTGGAAAATTTTTAAATTGACCCTTCATCATAAATAGTTTGGGAATCATCAAAATAGCTCCAGCTAGAAGGGAAAAATACTGTTTTTCACAGAATTGAGTGAAAAGATATATGTTAAATTCCTTTCTCCTATAAATACACAATGGAATATTACTCAGCAATAAAAGAGAATAAAATCATGGCATTTGCAGGTAAATGGATGGAGTTGGAGAACATAATGCTAAGTGAAGTTAGCCAATCCCAAAAAAACAAATGCCGGGGATGTTTTCTCTGATATAAGGAGACTGATTCTCAGTGGGGTTGGAAGGGGAAGCATGGGAAGATTAGACAAACTAGATAGGGCAAAGGGGTAGGAGGGGAAGGGAGGGGACATGGGGATAGGAAAGATGGTGGAATGAGATGGACATCATTATCCTAAGTGCATGTAATGAAGACACAAATGATGGAATATACTTTTTTTTATACAACCAGAGATATGAAAAATTGTGCTCTATATGTATAATATGAATTGTAATACATTCTGCTGTCATAGATAACAAATTCGAATTTTTAAAAATTTCTTTCTCCTGTCTTCAAATCCAGTGAAGTGTAGTTGTTTATATTCTTTGTCATATTCATTGTATACATCCGGATCTCTTTCTCCACCCTATAGATGATGTCACCATGGTCATCTGCCCTGGAATTGCCAATCACAGTGAGAAGCAGTACATCCGCACCTTCGTTGACTATGCCCAGAAAAATGGCTACCGGTGTGCAGTGTTGAACCACCTGGGTGCCCTGCCCAACATTGAATTGACCTCACCACGCATGTTCACTTACGGTAAATAGGGTGTATGGCCAATAGTGTCCAAGTTCGGACAAATGGGGGCCCCCTTTTCTGTTCTCTGCAAATGTGCTGTTGCTTTTGCTTCTGCCTTGTGTGGAATTTATGCCTATCTGCAAGAGATGGTGGGGCACACATTTATAACAGTAGCAACTTATGCTGTATGTTTATGATGCCATGCTTCAACACAGTTTTAGAAGTGGGTACGCCAACCACCCCTGGCTCACAGAGGCAGAAACCAAAGCTCACAGGAAAGGCCTTTCCTTAGGTACCCTGGCTGATAAGTGTCACAGCAGGGCTAGGAGCCAGCTAGATCTGGGAGTAGAACTTATGCCTCTCACCACTGTGCCATCCTGACTCTCAGGCAAGTGTGTAATGAGACACGTGAATGTCAGGAAGGGAATCTGGCACATTAGAAACTTACAGGATTTTCAAGTTCCTCGAGGACCAGAATTGGTTCTCATATTTAGGCAAATCCTTCTTCTTTTTTTTTTTAATTTTTTATTGTTGGTTGTTCAAAACATTACATAGTTCTTAATATATCATATTTCACACTTTGATTCAAGTGGGTTATGAACTCCCATTTTTACCCCGTATACAGATTGCAGTAGGCAAATCCTTCTTGACTTTAATTGAAATCCTGTATTTGTTAAGGCTCTAGCTTCTGAACTATTCATTCTTGATTAATATTTAGTTCTCCCTTCACATAATAAGTATACAATAATAAACAGAATTATGCATCTGTATGTGCACAAGCATTTGGGATGTTTATGACTAAATAAACTAATATGTTTTAATGGGAAACAACCACATAATAACTATGATGTTCTATTACTTCCTCCCATTCTGTCTGTATCTATGTGCATATAGTTTTTATTGAGTTGTAGTCATGGCATGTGTACCTATGGTGACTTTTTAAAGTAACTCTATAGTCACCAGCATAAAAGATGGATAGTTATTCTGTTTAATTATTCTAAGAGCCACATTGATATTACTATTCTGTTGTAGTTTATTTAACCATTCCTCTTTTAGGACATGTAGGTCATTTAAAGTTTTTTAGCATTTTAAATGATGGTGCTATGAAGCTCTTTTTAACTTTTTTTTTTACATTGCGACCAAATGTAAACGTCTTATTAGCAAACATTTGTTTTTAGGGGGTATATTGTTTATATTGGGATCTGATGACATTGTCCCTCACCTCAAAGGAGAAGTATTGGATCCCTACAGGGGCACTATAAGCCTTACAGGGTAAAAACAGTAATGCCCCGGATCCACAGTGCTAGAAGGGAAGACACACAAGCAATATAAAAAGACAAGGGAAGAAATTGCCCCCAAACAAATCAAGATACTACATATTAGAATCCATGGCCAGCACAGCAGAAGATAGACTGAGAAGGAGTTCAGGATGTGCATATTTAAAATGTTCTGTGAATTAAAGAATGATATAAGCAGCAAATACAGTCAGCAAAAGATCATTTTGACAAAGAGCTACAGAAAGAAATACAGAAAGCAAAAGATTACTTCAATATGGACACAGAGGTTCTAAAAAAAAAAAGAAAACAGAAAGCCTTGAAATGAAAGAATAAACTAAATTAAAAGTTCAATTGAGTATTACCAATAGATTAGACCACTTGGAAGACAGGACCTCAGACAATGAAGACAAATATAACTATATTGAAAAGAATGTAGATAACACAATGAAAATGGTAAGAAACAATGAGCAGAACATTCAAGAAATATGACATAGCATAAAAAGACAAATGTTTTTATTTCTAAGGTATATGCATTGACAAAATCTGCAAGAAAAAGCTCTTCAATGTACAACTTCAAAATATAAATATGAACATTCTCATTATAATTAAGCTTCAAGTCAGGATTTTTTATAATGGACTTATAAAAAATTAATGAAATACTCTTATTCTTAAGTTCTAAACAGCTGGTTCTGGTGCAAGGAAGTGATTTCACTGATCCTTAGGATGCAAGTGGAAGCTCTTTAACTCTTTAGTGACTTCTTTGGAGTAAGTTTCCAGTGAAATTATGGAGTTAACATTTTTTATGTGTATTCATACATAGCAATATATTGCCCTCTAGCAAGGTCATTCCAGTTCATGATGCCTTTGGTAACATATAAGGTCACTCTCCTCCAAGGGCAGGGCAGGGAAGTGGGCACATCCAGGCCTGGGGCTAGGTACTCTGAGTCTGTTTCCTCCTCTGCATTTACTCCCACACCTGAAGACACCCATTGTATAGGCTCTGTTCTGTTCAGCAGTTTTGTCAGTGGCTTGAAGACAGACAATTATACAGATTTGCAGATAAAACACAGGCATTTTGGGAGTGAGAAAAAGAATTGGATCCAGAAGGCCTAAATAAGCAAAATCTAATACAAATGAAAACAGTGGGAAATAATCGTAAGGTTCTGTATGTGGACTTAGAGCTCCATCTAAACAAATAGTTGATGAGAGGTGTGGCTTGGCTGCAGGGCAAGCAGAGACTTAGGAGCACAAGTGTGCCAAACTGCACAAGAAATGCCAGTGAAGGCACTTAATGTGAGCCAGCCCTGTGCTTGTCTCACCTAGATATTGTCCCCTCAGCCTCACCCAGGAATTAGTGAACTTCTGATTGAAAGACTAAGACACAGAAAGTTAAGCCATTTGGCCAAGGGCATGGAACCTGTAGACAGAAGAGTTAAAAGATAGGAACCTAATCCTGCTACCTCATCCTCCAGAACCATCTCAGAGCTGGTAGAATGGCTGGCTCTGTGGGAATTGGCCCCCCATACCCCGTGTACTCTGAGTGGTGGCTAGAGGAGGCCACATGAATGCATTACCAAGTCAGGGGATCTGGTTAGAAAAAGGTGCAGAGAAGAACAGACTCTGTGTGGAGTGTTCTCTCAGGAAGGACCCCAGTCAAGAGACAGGCCCTGGCTCAGCTACTGCAGCACTGCTGTCAACTGGCCACATGGCCTTGAGCAGTTTGCTTAACCTCAGTTCCAGATTCAACTACAATAGTAGGTGGGTTGCTGAGTACTTGGCAGGTAGTTGAGGGATTAAAAAACTAACGTAGTAACCATTTATTAAATGTTGGGTTTATTCTTATTTCAATACTTGGAGGTCTGTTAATGTTGGTTAATGTTTTTGACCAGATTTTTTTTAAAAAATCATATTCTGAAGGGAAAGTTGAGTCTATCAGTAAACCATTGTAGCCTAGTGTGATGAGTGCCCTAGAAGAGGGGCTGGTGGGCATGGGGACGCCAGCTAACTCTGGAGGTGAAGAGTCATGCTGCAGTGGGAGGAGTCTCCCAAGAAAGGCATTGAGCTGGGTCCTCAAAGGTGAGCTTATAAACAAGGGCTCTGGGCAGGATAATCCCAGCAGAAAAACAGCTTGTTGGGCCTAGTTGGTGGTATAGTTGGGCTAATGAGTTATATCTGAGCATGAAAAAATCTACACGGTTGAGGTGGATCCATTTAGGGAACACATCAGTCCTGTCCCCGTCACCCCCCATTTCCCCATTTCCTTTTATTTGTTACATTTTTGTTTCATCAGAATTTTAGAAGTGAATTCCTACAGTTTGTTTTACTTTGGTAGTTTTCCCGAAAGGTTACTTGGGATGATTTTTCTAGCCCTGCTATTTAATTGAATACATTGGTGCATCTTTTAACTTTACAGTGCCTCTTATACCCTTTGGAAATAAGATTTAAAAAAATGTGACCTTAATGGGTATAAGATCCAGAAGTCACACACAATACTGAAATCTAAAATGTAAAGCATCTATGGTAGCTGGGAGGACACCAAGGAAAGGAAATGCTAGTGTTTCCTTTGGTGCCATTGTGATATATGTTATTTTAGCTTAAAATTATGAGTTTTTAATAAATGGTTCTCTGGACTGGTGGATAAAGAGCACTCCTTTAGTGAAGGTGGCCTTGTGCATGAAGGCAAAGCCCAGGCTTATTACTTTTATACTTATATATAAAATTAAAATACATATACATATATATTTTTTTAATTTTTATTTTTTGGTACCAGGATTGAACTGAGGGGTGCTTCATTACTGAGCCACATCCCCAGCTCTTTTTTATATTTAGAGACAAGATCTTACTAATTTGCTTAGGGCCTTGCAAAGTTGCTAAGGCTAGCTTTGAACTCAAGATCCTTCTGCTTCAGCCTCCTGAGCTGCTGGGATTTTAAGCATGCAACACCTTGCCTGACAGGCTTGTTACTTCTGGTAGGTAAACTGAGGCAGCTCAACAGTTAACATGCTGGAACTGAAAAACCCTCATCACTGTTTTGTTTTTGTACTGGGGATTGAACTCCGGGGCACTCAACCACTGAGCCACATCCCCAGCCCTATTTTGTATTTTATTTAGAGACAAGGTCTCACTGAGTTGCAAATTTGAAGCTAGCCTCAGCTAGCTTCAAATTTGCAATCATCCTATCTCAGCCTTCCAAGCCTCTGGGATTCGTGGATGGGCTTTTTAAATTAGCAAAAACATATCTGTAGCGTTTTGTTTCCATGCCCAATGTCATTAACTTTTAATTGCTATTGTTTTGTGACTTTTTGTAACTACTATTACTATTGTTTACTATTGTATTGTTTTGTATCTGGCCTAATATCCAGCAGTTCTCTTGCTTCTTCAGGGTGTGCTTTTCTCTCCTTGCCTTTCTATTTCATTCTGTTGGACTTTAGAATTATTTACTCAGGCTCTATGTTAAATTTGTGTCAGATATAATAGATTTGATTATGCTGTGGGAACAAACAGCTCCCCAAATTCTTAAAAACAAAGATGTTTTCTGCCTCACAGGACACATCCATCGTGGCACAGCAGGGGCTTCCGGGTCCCCATCATTATTTTCCTAGGGCTTAGGCTGGAGCAGCAGCCACCAGCTGGAGCCAGCCTCACAGAGAATGGAAAAAACCTGACTCTTGAAGCTTCTGAGAAACCATAGAGGTCACTCCTGGTCATAATTTATTGGCCAAAGTACACAAAATGGCCAAACCC